ATAAAATCTTAGAAATGGGAAACACTGGATACACTATTTCATTGTAGAAGTAATTTCTGAAAACTATTTCAATTATTTTGTTTCATTTTAATTACTTAATTTTAACACTTGTCAATTCTGGATTGTGTGTACTTCACATGAAACAGGGAAGAAATGAAATGCCATAGTTAGGATAGTAGTAAAAGAGAAAAGGTATATACCATGGAAGCTTTAATGGAAGGGATGTTTCTGCTTTGTTTCCTAGCAGAGTCACAGGGTCAAGAAGAGAGAAATAATGGGGAATAGTCTTTCTGAGGAGCCTTTTTATTTGCTGCTTTTAAATATTTACTCATTTTATAGACTAGGAGCCCAGTTTTGACCTTGACAGTCTTCCTAAGGCACTAGTTACCAGTGTACTGAGTTGAGACTGAAGCCATAACTGAAAGATGCCCTTACAGGGAGATATTTTTGTTTTACAGCTTCCAAAAAACAGTAATCATCACTATTTCATAGGTATGTCATAAAGAGCAAAAAAAAATGTCTTCAATGTCCCTATAATAAGCTCATGCCAGAAGCATGGATCCTTGCCAGCAAAATGAGAAGCTCTTTTCATCTGGTGCCCTTTGGGTGCAGGAGGTAGCATCAGGGTTTGGAAAAGCCAGGTGAAAACCATGCTGTGTGAAACAGTGGTATGCTGGGGCCTTATCATATTGGCTTGTGAGAACTGACTGAATTTTTATTATTTTGCAAGCCAGTTAATATTGCATTGCTTGAAACAGGCCATGGTGGAAGCATTCATATTTATATCATGGACACTGAGAGCTAGTTTGCCAACATGCCATTGTGTGGAAAACAGTAGTACTTGGAAGAGACTCCTGGTTCTGCAATTTACTATATGTAACCTCAGGAAAAGTTACTTCACTTCTCTAGATCAATTTTTTCAACTGCTTTAAGTATTGCATCTCATGTAAGGAACTAAAGATGAAAGTACTAAGCAGAGTGACAAGCAAGTATTAATTACCCTATCAATGCTAGTTGTAATTTGTCACACACTGATGGTTCATGTGACCCTGTCCTTAAATTCCAAAGCAATTTTAATGGAATAACAGAGTAAGGATCCTTAAAAAAACAAAAAACAAAAAACAAAAGGCAGTGTCAGCAATTTCATAATAATACAAGTATATGGAGAATATGCTTCTTTTGTTCACTCTTCCCCATCTACCCTCAATGCAAAATTTCTAACTTAGCATACACTTAATCTACCTGATGTTCTGTACAAATATCATACAACTAAAAAGTATTAGAGAAGTATTATGATGCCAAAGAACCCCATGCTTATGGTAAATATTAACCCTATTGTATTAATGTAGGGCCCAGGTTCAATGTGTTAACAGCCCCCCCAGAACTATGTAACACAATGGCTATAGAAACCAGACCTTAGAACTGATCAGGAATCTCAAACTGACGGCGAATACAACAGCCCAAACAGGTATTCTGAGTACAGAATTTTTTCTCCTTCTTTTCTAAAATGTGAATGTAAATAAATGCCTTTCAGAGATCAACTTAAGCCCACCACTCCCCATTTCTTACATCCAGTAAAGTCTGAAGGAAACCAGAGGCAAGCTTCCAAGAGTCCTCTCTGAATGAAGTCACAAAGGATGCAATTAATTTCTCCAGCAACTGAGTTCTAAGAATGTGTAAAGAGTGGTCTACCAAAGAAACATGTTACAGATCAGCACCCAGGGTTTTTACTGGGGGCTGGTACATAAGTACCCCTACTTATGGTAGGGGTACCCGCTACTACGCCTAGCATGTTCCAAAATTCCAGACTCCCAAAAGGAAAAGAGGTATTAATATAAACAAACACTGTTTGCACAGTTTAGGCACAGCAAGCTACTCTTATCATTTAGGGAAAGTTTTATTTCAGTGTAGGAAACTGTTGACCAGTTAAGTTCCCAGACACCAGGCCAAGGTTAATCTTGGAAGCAGACTTCCTAAAGTCAGCAGTCTTGGGCCTGCTCTGTCAGCTCCTTTTGCACACCTACCTTTAACTTTTCTTCCCTATCAGCCAGAGGGTAGCCTTGTTCCAAGGTCTTTACCCAACACCCCAAAGCCTTCCTTGTCTCACACAAAAGCTCCCCATTTACCAACTGCTAATTATCCCCACTGCTCCAGTTTTATTAACACATAAGAAAATAATTCAACTTTATCTTACCTATCCAAACAAAAGTTAACTTATTTTCCCAATGTTATTAAATACCACTCTACCAATCAGAACTTCTAGATAGCATGAGCTAGCCTGGATCTACACTAAGATATGATTTCAGCCGGGGGTAGAAAACAAATCACTTAAGCTGTCCATTGGCTTTATCATGTAAATATATAATTTCCATTTGACTGGTGGAAATACTGAAAATAGTTCAAGGACTCTTATTACCACCCTGAAGACTCTTCTCATCTCTCACTAACAATCTTATTCAACAAAGTACAGAATGCAAAGCCAAACCTAGATTTGGTATCTAGGTTTCCCAGGGGTAGTCAGCCCCCAGGAAGTAGGACAGAAAGTGCACACTGGCTGTCAGTTTTACTGCACAAGGGTGCCACTAAGGATCCACTTCTGACCCACTGGTGAGGATGCACCTGACCCTTAAAAGCTTTCAGCATTCTCTCATCCCAGATCCCTTCAGCCCCCAGGAAGCACTGGACTCTTTCCAGCAAAGGTCCAGAGCCACAGAAAACAGATATTCTCAGTTTCTGTCAAGCTTAAACATACTCAAGGGTTGGGGAGCTGAGGACCACCATGGCTGTCAGCAAGGGGTTAGCAGGAAGTTATATTCAAACATTCTATTCAAGTCCTGGAGTTATATTCAAGTCCTATAGTCCATGCTAGATCCCATGAACCACCTCAAGGACCTGACTCTCTCCTGGGGAACCCAATGCCTAGACCACAAAATCCTGAATCCTGGAACTCCTTGACATTGATGGGACCATCAAATGGGAATGACCAGAGCTTGACCATTGCTTTGGTTCTACTCTAATAGACTTATCTGTACATGGAAAATTATACATTGTTCTGCCAATCTGTGAATTTTGGAGGATCATGCTCACTCTCCAACAACAGTGTAGATTGCCTGCCACAGAAGGATTCAGATCTTGACACTAGATGATCTCCTAGAGAATGACAAGGCCTTTAGGGTGGAGGCCACAGACCAGTGGGTGACTTAGCTCTCCTGGCCTCTTTGTGCAGCATGTTCTGAATCCTGAGACTACCTCTGAAGCTGTGCTTTTGCTTCACAGCTGGGGAGGGGAAGGATGTATGACATCATGTCATAATTCACTCAGATGCTGAATGGGAATTTAAGCATATTTTATGGAGGGCTTGTTCTAATGAATCCCTTTTATGTGATTAAAGTGGTTTAAATAGTATACTAGGCATTGTTGGGAGCATTCTCCCAAATGGTGGCATTTGAAGCACAACCAGCTAAGACTGCTGGTGCTATATTATATACTCAAGCAAACTAACTATACATTTATCTCAAGCTGGAATTGAGTTAAAATAGATTGTAAAGTCACAGGTCAAGCAGTGTCAATTCTCAGTCTGTGGAGCTGCTGATGCTTCCTAATTGTCTTCCAGGGAAATGAGAGAACATTTACTTTGATCCAATGGTGGGAAACATCCTTCCCAACTGGCAGGGGTAAGGACAGGATACCAAATTAAAGAACTTTGGTAAGTAAATCTCAGCCATCTCTTTAAGCACTAATGGGTGGAAAAGCAAATAGCATTTTTATAATTACCATAAATTTTAAATGAGTGAAAGCCCTATTCAATCAGTTGCAATTTCAAAAAAAAAAATCAGAAAATGACTGCCAAAACAGGAATAAAAACAAAAGCTGACCTTTTTATTAGTGTTTAGCACAATCTCACCACATTTAAATAAAAAGTGAATACCCATTAAAAATCCAGAGAAGCAGATGAAAAGGTTTCTTCTAACAAAGGAAAATAAATAGGAAGTCCAAAATTATTGTAATCCTAAAATAAGCTTTACATAATGGCTTCAAAAGACTGGTTAGATTTTATGTCATTTATAACAAAAAATCTGCTGGCCACAAGTCCAAGGAACTGTATTGCAGGAAAAATGCTAAAATAGGGCACACACCACAGGCAAATGGAACCATGCAGTTTTACCTAGCCTACAGATTTTCAATCACTTACAAAGCCAAGTTGAACTTCATGTATTATAAAAATGTGTAGAAAGTTAACTGAACAAAATGTAGTCTACCTATATGATCTCAACACTACGCCCTTCAGCCAATTTCCCCTCAATAATTTAAATGGATTTCAAAGTTTATTAAGCTCTGTAATACACAAAACTATGTGCTAAGTGTCTAAATTGAGCAATTTGAAAAGTGTTGTTCATAGCATTTACATCATGATTTGTTAACCTTGGAAATAATTTTTAAAACTCCATTATCTTCTTTAAATGAGTGCTGAAATATTTATTTGATGATGATAAATAATTTCAGTAAAGCATTAAAAAGTTCATGGGCAAGTATCAAACCTAGCTCCCCGAAATGCCTATGGAGGTAAGTAAGGTGGAAATGTAATACAACAGGGGAACCAAAGATTGTATGATCCACCTAAGGCATACTCAAATAGAAAACACAAACACAGTGTCAGCTACGCAACACTCGTCTGTGGGTTGGCTAATGGGCTACAAGTATGTAACTCCCAAATGAAAGTCTGGAATCAGAATCTGAAGCTTCTTCCAAATATAGATGCTTCCTATCACAAAGTCTAACAGATTCTTGAAAGATTCGGACTAGTGCAAAATAGTTTACATACACAGGCTATGGCACTCACCTGGAGATTTCTTGTCACATATTTACGTGTCCTGGATGGGAGTTAACTATAACATATAAATAACTGAAATATTTTTTAAAGTCTTTTTCCTTTTATAAGATTGCAAATAATTGCTTTAGTTACATAAAAATGAAATGCCACTACTGAAGTAGTGTTTTACCTGTTTAAGAAATCGGTCAGATGCATTGCTGTGTTTGGCTAACACACTTGGCAGAGATGGGTTTGCATATTCAAATTGAGGATTGTAGGTATAGTCAGATTTGAAGAATCTCAGTTTCTCCTTCTCCAAGTTGGTGGGCTTTATGGCAGTCAGTATACAAAATTTCTTCCCAGAAAAGTCATCTCCTTTTTCAAAACTTCTAGACAATTGAGGCTGCAGCTTTGGCTTTGGCAGAGCAGAGAAATGGCATCGCTTTACCTTGTTTTTGGGTTTAGGTGGCAGTACTATGCTGTTCCCTGTAACAGAGATATCATGTGTAAACTTTATGGGACTCGACACTGAACTAGTGACAAAAACACCAGGCTGCCTTTCTAGGCAGTACCAAGTACCACTGCTCATCACAGGCACTGGGGCTTTCATCTTGCGAAGATCTTTACTACGAGAAGAACTAGATTTGCTGGGTTTTCTACATCTTTTGGAGTAGGTGGAGGAAGACTGTTTTTGTGAATAATGCTTTTTCTCCTCTTTGCTCTGTAGTAGGACATTGTAACTACTGGTTCCAGTTGTGAAAATGTCCTTTAGTATCCCAGAAGATAAATGTGAAATGCTTCTTTTGCTGTCAATGATCAATGGCTCTTCTGCATTTAGTACAGACTTCTTCGCAAGTTCTTGCTCAGGCCAGTGAAGCTTTTCTGTGTTAATAAACAAAATCAAAACAAAAGAAATAACAAAGATACCAAATGAAGCAAATTGCTTATTATACAAAAAGTATTCTGAAGGTTCTGTAAACTTTATAATTTTGCAACAATCTTTAGACATTTTAAATATTAAAAAATATGTTATTAAACTTTGGTCATGCTAGACAGTGTCACTTCTATACAAGCATATATATGCTAAATTATCTATAAGAATTATCAGTTTCAAACTATTTAGATGATCAAAGTTTAATATCAGTGTGAGGTAATACACATAAATAATCTGAATAGTCAATTCTACCAAAGAATATGATTTCACAGAAAAGATACAATTTTCAATAGCATCACCAATATCAAAGTAAAATCCAAGGCATTTTCAAAGCCAACACAATCTTGAAATTGGATGCTATAAATAAAGATAGCCATCATTAAAGGAGGACACTGCCTTATTTATTTCAAAAATCATTTTTAAAATTAAATAAATGATATGTGTATGTTAAAGCATGTTTTAGTAATGTCACTCAATTGGTTGATTTTCTTAATTCTAGGCTACAGGTTAATATGAAAGAAAATTAAGATTTTTTTTCTTGCCAAGTCTGAAAAAAATTGTAATTACTATTACATAGACATTAGAATATCATATGGTAAATGAAGGAGAGGTCAGCTTTGCCTTTAGATTTCACAAGTGCTTTAAAGAGGTATGAATCACTTGATAGACTGATGCTCAGGCACTGCTTTAAAACTGTGTTGACTTGCATTCTTTCATTCCATAAATATATGAAATACTACTAATTAGGTACATGGCTATGAGAAACATCTTTATAAATCCATTGTTCCTGCCTTCAACCAGCTTCTAATCTGGCTCTGAAGGCAAGGCAGTCCTCTGAAGATTTGAATAATAATATAAGATAGTGTAAGTTTAAATGTGAAAACCAGAAAATACAGACAATAACCTAGAAATCAGAGCAGGAAGAAAGCAATGTGAAGAGAAACAGATGAGACTGCATCTAGACCTTTAAGAACTTTCAGATTTAATTCTAAACCAACAAAGTGAGTTTGTCTTAAATCCTACTTATCAAAACTAGATTCCAGGCCAACTCCTATCTACAAATCTGACCTCTGGCCAAACCTGCTTATAAACCTTTCCTCCAAATTACACATAATTCTCTACAAGTGACATCTAATTCTCTCAACCAGTTCTCAATGGACCCTAATGCCTCCAGCCCCCAACCTTTGACTCCTATTATTCAATGCTAGCCGACTTGGACAGATGCCTGCTTGCCAAGAAACACATTTCAATTTTTTGAAAACTTTATCCACATACATCTGTCATTCACTCATTTAAGATTAGACATTCAGGAATCCTTTCTATAATAACCAGTGGTTAATAATAATGATGATGATAATAATAATAATAATAATGACAGACACCATTTGTTGACACATTTATGTGAGTTGGGGATTTCACAGAAAACTACGTATCACTTAACTCTCAGAAATGTTAAATAATTTGCTCAAGGTAATATGACAATAAAGTAATAAACTGCAAACTGATTTGAATACAGGTGTATGTGATTACAGAGTCCATGCTTGCTGTGTTATATATGGCCATTCATTTACTTATCAGCACATATTCAATATTAAGTCTGCTATATGCACAGCACTGCACCTTTTCTTCCTCTGTACAGAACACAGACCCTAATAAGACATGGTAATCTGAATAACTGATGTACTAAGATAGGTACCAGAACTGTGTTTTATTCATTTCTTCCAACATCTAGCATGATCTGACATTCAATAAATGTACACTGAATGAATGAATGAATGAATGGCAGGACCCTAAACATGTCACTCTCCAACCATTCTAGATAAACAGGTATCTGTAGTTCTGGAACCATTCTACAGTTCTAGGAGATAACTGCAGAAGTGAAAATGTAACAGGGGAAAAACCCTGGGCCAGTGGTTCTCAACCAGAGGCAGTTGTGTCCCCCAGGGGACATATGGCAGTGTCTGGAGACATTCTGGTTGTCACAACGAGGGAGGGGTGCTACTGGCATCTTGTGGGTGGAGGCCAAGGATGATGCTAAATATCTGTCAATGCATAGGACTTCTACAACAAAAATATCCATCCCAAAATAGTGCTATGATAAAGAAACTCTGCCCTAAACATAAGTTTTTAAAGCTTAGAAGTCATAGGGTTTAGGGTAAAGAACTGGTAAAGTACCAGATCAAAAATGGATAGTACTCCAAATATGTAAGTACTTAAAAGTCCATCCAGTTAACATTTTCTAGGCCAACATGTTAAACTTGAATTCTGGTGTCTTAAAGATAACATGAAAGCATAAATCTATAAGGGCTAAGTGTCTACTACACGTACAAGCTCAGAGGTAGGAGCTAGACTGTGCAGGGTCAAGTTGAAGGTTGCACAAAGAAGCCATTCAATAAATGGAAAAAAACAGCCAAAAATAAACAGAACAAATAAAACTTTCATTACGGGCTGGTAGGTCTCAGTTCCTCAGGGGTTTCGGACTTAAGTGTTGCCAAATGATAGTCCAAATGGGGCAGGCTGGGCAAACATAGGCTAAGGAACACCAGAACCCAGGCTATACTCAATGCCCATGAACAATGTCAGTTTCCCTAAAAAGACACAACATTACAAGACAAGAAGTGACTAGGAAAGGAAGACTGAAATGGACACTAAAAGGGAAAGAACAAGAAAACAGATAATAAGGGTATTGCAAACTTAGAAAAGTCAGGTGAGGAGTAGGCACAGCCAGGAAGGTAAAGGGAGGTAATCAGGTTCTTTTCTCATTTGGTCTTCATAATAAAAATGGAGAAAGTTACCAAATTAAAATCAGACTATTCTAAAGAATTCTTACATTTTGATGGCTTATTACATGTGTATTTTGTTGATTTTTAAAAAAACGAATATTCAGTGTAAAAATGCTTTCTTTGGTTCCTAAGACTTAGTGGCTCTATGACCACAG